TTGACTAAGGAATTGATTAAATCTTGATCTCGACCCACCATATCAGCTGATGTGGATCTAGAAAAAGAATTCCTACTTGGTTCTAAAGATTTGTGTGATTGGGCTAACTCGTGTAAGTGGACACTTGATTTTCTGGCTGGACGGTCAAAATTGAATTTAACTGTTCCATCAAAATATTAGTCTATGTTGTCTAGGTTGACTAAACTATTTTGGATACTAACTGGCTTACTTTCATTAATCAAACACCAATCTGAAGGCAAACTGATATCTGACCACCTAATGGTTCTGGGTATTTTGATGTTGGTATTTTCTTGATTGGTTTGTATCAAGAGTGTATGGTCTCTAGAATTTTTGACTAAGGCTTGGAAATTCATGTTTATTCCTGTGACTTTGTAGTAAACTTTAAAGATTAAGGCTAATGGTTGGACTCCTTCAAGAACTTGGTACCTTAAAGTTTTGATGTTTATGTGAGTGCTTTCAGTATGTGAGGATCTGAAAGACTTATCATGAGATCTGGGAAACAATCAAAATGAATTGGTCCATTGTAAAAACTTGACTTGATCATTCCAAGAATACTATCACTGAAGTCAATGAATCATGCATCTCAGAGACATAACAAAATAAAGGTATTGAGGCCTCTTCTTGTTAAGGGCTTGATTGCTATTTGGACTAGACCTATGTGAATGTAATTGTAACCATCTTTTCTATGAGTTTTAATTTGTTCTGATGTAAATAACTGACAAGTTTCATGTTCTTTATTAAGAACATAAGCTTTTTCAACTGTTTGGACATGGTGTTCAATTCTAAAAGAGGCTACTGACCATTTCTTTTTGTAAATGTTTTTACTAGAAACCTTGGAGATATTCTAATCTCCAAAGTCGACATTGTCCTCTGTTTGAAATTCTAATTTTTGTTCTTCATTTACTATGTTTGGAATTCTACTTAAACTGGATCTGGAGCTAGTGCTAGCAATTGAATTAGATCTAAATAATCTACTCATATTGCTCAAAATGTAGGTTTTCAATATACAGAAATCTTTCTTGCTTTACCTTCCTTGCATATTTGCTAAACTCCCTCTTCGCTTATGCAATCCACTCATGCCAATCCTATGGACTTATTGTCTGGAACACATCTTACTATTTGGGTTGAGAGTAAACAATCATACTTAGAAGGTTAACAAATAAGATAAACTGTCAATGATAACTGAAGGTTGAACAAATATAGTGATTAAAAAGATAATAACTCAATTAAATGAAGTTTTAAAACAAACATTGTTTTGACAAACATGGGCTTTTGGGATTTCATATTTTAACTGCACTGGTGATTGGTTTGTTGCACTAAGAATTTCTGTTGATTTACGGAAATACTTGGTGGGAATTAAACCTTCTTAAATACAATTAAACTCTGCACTTAAGTCAATTAAGGCAATTACAAAAAGATATTATCTCGAAAACCATCTTTGCTAATCATGAAGTGGAATTATGAAGTCGAAATCGATGAAGTCAATAGAATCAAATTAGTCAAATGGTGGGATAAATCCAACCATAAAAAAACCATCAGTCAGGTCCTCATAGAATTTCCCATTACTCCATCTCCAGTAATTATGACACAGCCAGCATAACCATCTTTGCCAGCCATTCCAGAACAGTCATTATCGGACATTAGTCCATCATCATCACTCAAAGGAACATCAAAGTCATCCAACTCAACAAGCTCAAAAAGCAAAGAAAAAGCCACCCAACTTAAAGACTTAGCTCAACAATTACTTGCAGAAGGAGCGATGCTCCATTCTGAAGAAGAAGAAGAAGAAGAAGAAGAAGCCGTAGACTTTGAATCTTCAGATGCATCCTCACAGCAACCAGCCAACTTAGCAAGCCAAAAAACATAGTCAACCAAGTGGGCCGACTACCAGGACTCCCAAGACCTTTTTGCATAAAGCCATGTGAACACAGTTAATCACTATGTGAAAACTAAAGTCATCAAGTCAAGTTATCATGACAATTGCCATCTTTCCAAAGTCACCATGTGAAGTTTTCTGACAAAGTTCAATCAATAATTCTGACAAAGCAAGGAATCACTCAGTCACCTGCACACCCCACAATAAAAGTAGCAATTATTCCAACAAGGATCACTATTCATCAACAGTAAAAGCAAGTTACCATCCATCCCGTGCTTCCATAGTAAAGCAATCAATCATCCAAGTCTTTAAGAAGATGTCTCCGACGAAGAAGAAACCAAGCTCAATTTTACATTTTCTTAATCAAAAGTTTTTTTGAGTTCACACTATACCCAAAGAAATAAAAAATTGTAAACACTTTTAATTTTCAAATGTCAAGGATGCCTATGTGCACCAATATCCTTTTCACCAATCAATTTCTAATTTGCTGACCTAATCGTCAGTAAATTAATTGTAAGTCCCAGTGTAAGTTTTGGAATAAAACTTATTATCAAATTATAATTACATCATTATTTTGAATTCATTACTTTATGAATATTTTCATAACAAATAATTTTGAATGATATAAAATTCTTACACACAGTCAATTCATCGAGTACCTTCAGTTCAAGGTAAATACCGATCAATCATTTGTTCAATTATTCTTATTCATTTATAACAATTGGTTTCATGGTATATTTAATCCTGGTTATCCCCCACATCAAATTTTCAATTCTTCAATTTACAATTCATTCAATTCTATCTCAGGCAACAAGCTTATATATATAAAGATATATATATATATATATATATATATATATATATATATATATATAAGCTCTTGTAAATTCATACTAATACATCAGGGACGAAGTATGAGATCTATATGAATTGGGACATTCTAAAAATAAAGTCACAAATTAAAAAGCTTAAGAATTTACTAACATTGCACATACACTAATCCATAAAATATATCATACAACATATTACAATATCTCACAACGCATTTTCAAGTTTTGAAAGCGTTGCATAACAATTTCACTACCAATACCATCAAATATCTCTTCCTAAAAAAATAACCATATTATCATTCATCAATTAATTTTCTTACGATTTCTCAATTGATCATTTAGAAATTTCACAACTGAAAATGCTTTATCATGTGAAATTATTAAATGTAATATGTACAATTTTTTCACAAAAAAATGAGTCAGGGCATCTGCCCCTTGGGCCCAAGGTGGCATCGTCCTTGGCAATACCACACATACTATGCAGAAAAGTGATAGAAAAATATGAAAGTGTTTTAAGAAAAAAAATGTGGAAGAGTCTTTTAAAATGTTATCAAGAAAATATTAATATTTAAGGACTATTTCTTCTAAAATAAAAATAAATAATTAAGTCTTTGCTTAAAAGTTGGTTAAGCAATTTCGAACCTTTTCCTAATTTTTTTCTTGTGCATCAACCTCACCTTGTGTTACGTTTATCACTACTGGTTTAAAAGGCAAAAAAAACTTAATACAACACAAAGTATGGACAAAAAAGTACATATGAAATCGATAATATGACTTAAATAATCTTTGTGACACAAATTAAAGTAATGTGTTGAATCCAAGTAAACTAAGTGAATTTTTTCAACAAAATGCTTTGTCAAAACGAAAAAAAAAAAAAAAATTGTTATTAGCATTTCAAGATAATTATCATGCACTCTTTCTTAATTGAAAGTCATTAAACAAAAGAATAGTCTGTGGTGACTATCTGGAATGTTAATAATAATACTAAAGAAAAACATATAGGATAATGAGCGACTAAAAGTGTGTTAGGCTCGATGAAAACACTACACTAGACATATGAATAATGATCCATGCAGGGTCATTCATTTTATTAGCAAAAGCAACCATGTGGATACAGGGCCACATTAATCCATCACATTACACAAGCACAGTCTCTACACAGATTACAGTTCTTTTTAACTAATTAATTAGCACTTTTTGGTGCACACGCAAGCACGGGTCAAGACACTACAATGGCCTCTGGTGAATTGCTCCTTTCTGCAGGTGTGTTTACATTTGTTAGACGAAAAGCACAACCCTTTGAACAGAGTGCTTGGACCCTCACAGATCTTCCCTTCAACTGTCTTGCTTGACTCAGTCCTTGCCTCAACACCCATTGGCCTCATCTCTAAAGATCAATTTTTTTTTGTTCAATAAGATGCTTTATTAGAAACATCATAAAAAATTAATTATTAAATAAAAGAGGTATAATTACCGGTAGCAGCCAAAAGCAAGATAAGAACGAAGGCAGCTGAAACAAGACGCATTGAACGCTCCATTTGAATCTGTGTGTATGTAAGTGTGTGCTTGATCTGTGTGTTTCTATGTGTGCTTGTGTATAATAAGAAAGACTTTAGATGCTGATGCAAAGACCAATAACCATGCAAGACTTATTATATAGTGACCTAGTGCAGATTAAAGAGGAACGGTCTCCGTAAAGCAAGGTAGCTCCATACCCAAAATACAAAGTTGAAATTTCCAACTTACGAGGCACCATAAACCAAATCCCTATTTTTGTTGAGTAAGTTCTCTGTCATACATTTTTCTATGCTCATTAGAGTTTCTTTTTCAAGCACATTTTACTTTTGCTTTTAAAAGAATATTTGGGTTTTAAGCACTTTGACTTATTATTCACATTTTTATATGTAAATGATGCGGCATATACCATAGTTCTTATAACAATATAATTGTTTTTTTGCACAAGTTTTAGTCTGTCTGTACCTAACTAATCTAAATTATATAGACGTGGATTTGCACATTTGAATACCAATTTTGTAAATAGAAGATAATACGATGACGGGGCATCGGTTGTTTTTTCTTCGGTGAATGCAACAAATTCATAGCAATCTTTGCATCACTTTCTTGCAGTAGCGGAAAACTGTTATGCATTTGCACCATGGAGCATGTTTGATCCCTACCGATTCTTTTCCTCCTAACAACTACCTATTTAACCCATTAATGTTATCGTTTATCCAAAAAAAAAAAAAAAAAGCAGCGAACATATTGCTCAAGAATGATAAAACCAGAAGATTCATAATTCATTGTATCAACCTTCAGTAGTTTAGATGAACCCTTGAACATTCTTTATACAATGTTCTATGAATTCACGAGGAAGATGACACGAGAAACCTACTCATAGTTCTCCAGGATCTACAGAGAGATCGGGTAGAATATTCCGTCCATGTTCAGGTGAGATAGTTGATGAATTCCACAGCGGTCGCAATGGCACCTCCTGTAATTGCATCCACCAGAACTTTATCCTTGTTCTCTTTGCTGGCTGCAGATACTAGAGCCCCTGTCAATGCACCCCCGAGCATGGCATTCTTCTGCAGGATATCAAAAGAAAAAGGGTGAGCAGATGCAGAAGTTCCAATGGAAGTCCGAAAATTAAATAAAAACGAACTTGAAATGGCACGCTTGAATGTAATTTTAGAAGCTACCAGCGCATACTGAAAACGAACAATTACACAAATCATGGCAACGGGAGGATATAGGGAACATAGAGGTTAAGAGTTTTAAATTAGCAAGTAGACAATCTGAAACAATTTCCCAGATCTAGAAGGTTCATGTGCAAACTAGGACGAATGAGCATGAAAATTAAGGCCAACAGGTACTGTACAACTAGCTATCTAGAATTCGAACAGACATATACCCAGTCTCTGTGTCCACTGACCCTCTCGATACCATACTCTGCTCCCACGTACACTGCAGCTACAGTACCTGTCAATGCAATAGAAGAAATTGTTGATGCAGTTCTCAATTCGCAAAAGTGAGGAAGCTGAAGCAATTTTTCCGGAGGACGAGCATAATCTCATCCATGCATACATCTAACACACAATGAAATAGGACTCAACTTACCCCAATATGCACCTTCTTTACACATCTTCTTGAACTGCAAGAAACAGTACTCTCAATTAGCAGGATTTGGAAATTGTGTTACATCCCAACTTTCTTCTATGAATAAGACAGACCTCCAAAAGGCAATAGATCCCACTAAACAAAATCAATTGAGCAACAACTGAAGATGCTGAATTAACCGCAAGTAGCTACTAATATTGTTTTCGGTTACAAGGGAACCAAAGGCCGATCACAAATCAAACAAAACAAAACGAAACAAAACAAACTAAACTACCTAAACCAGCAAGATCATTGAGCTCAATGTCAAGGTTAAGAGTAGCTACTTATCTCAGATCATACAAGAAAGCACAAAATCGAAAAACCGAATTAATTAAACAAGGGATTGTGCTGGTTACTCACAGTGTGCTTAAAGTCGCTAGTCGAAATGCTCCCTGCAAAAATCACCTCACATTTTTAGTAAATGTAATTAAAAAAACTAAAATAAAACCCAAAAATCTTATTCAAAAACCAAATAAATACAATCATCATCATCAGACTGCAAGCACATGATCAGCATATGAAATTTAAAACTTTCCCACTGCAACAGTTGGAGCGCAATGATAAATAACATTACCTTTCTTGGCCGCAGAGAAAGCATCCTCTGCAACAGCTCTGGTAGCAGCAACCTGAAACCAAACCAACAAAACGACACCGTTTGATTCAAAACCTTGCCATTGCAACTATGCGAACTATCAAAACCCAGAAGTGAAATACTAAACTGAAAAAACAACAAAAATTTAAAAAAAAATGTTGAAGATAATTTTAAAAAAAAAATGAAAAAAAAGTAGAAAAATCGTACGGTTCCGATCTTCAAGAAGCCATCGACGGTGTGGTTGAGCAAGGGGTTTCCCAAGTCGATGATCACGTCGACTTGCGGCCCTGTAAGCGCCCCTGAGAAACTGCTTGTCGGCATCTTCTTCTTCTTCTTTCTCTGTCTCCTCTCTCTCTCTCTCCTCTGTGATAGACGAACACTATGATGACAAAATTGGTGGGGGTGTTCTGTGATACGATATTTATCAGTGATGATACATTTACGAGAATGCCATCGGAAGATGCCATGCAGTGCAGCATCAATTGCATCAGGCGGTGCCGGTGGATCAAGTGCAATGGTGCGTCATGTGTAAAATTGGTATTGACTTGATTGCAAGTGACATTTTTCATTTCTTTTTAATAATATTTGCTTTGATTGTGCCGTGAACACAGTTCAATACACCAAGTATCATAATACAAGCAGTGTTACATCCCACATCGCCTAGGAGAGTGGATCTTGTAAGCCTTATATGTATATTCCTATTTTTACCTAGCACGAGGTCTTTTGGGAGCTCACTAGCTTCGAAGTTCATCGGAACTCCGAAGTTAAGCGAATAGCGCGCGAGAGCAATCTTAGGATGGGTGATCCACTGGAAAGTTCTCGTGTGAGTTCCCAGAAACAAAACCGTGAGGGCGTGGTCGGGGCCCAAAGCGAACAATATTGTGCTACACTGGAGTCGAGCCCGGGATGTGATGGGGCCCAGACCGAGATGTGACAATTTGGTATCAGAGCCAATCCATGACCGGATGTGTGCCGACGAGGACGTCGGGCCCTTATAGGGGGTGGATTGTTACATCCCACATCGCCTAGGGGAGTGGATTGTGTAAGCCTTATATGTATATTCCTATTTCTACCTAGCATGAGATCTTTTGGGAGCTCACTGGCTTCGGAGTTCATCGGAACTTCGAAGTTAAGCGAGTAGCGCGCGAGAGCAATCCCAGGATGGGTGACCCACTGGGAAGTTCTCGTGTGAGTTCCCAAAAACAAAACCGTAAAGGCGTGGTCGGGGCCCAAATGGAAGGCGTGGTCGGGGCCTAAACGGATAATATCGTGCTACAGTGGAGTCGAGCCAGGAATGTGGTGGGGGTCCGGGTCCGGATGTGACAAGCAGTTAGAAATTTTTTTCCCAAGTATTCAACAATTCGTATTGTAACATTTAGTGTACCAGCCTGTGTTACTGGCACACTTTCTCAAGCTATAATTGTTTTTTAATTCCCCAAAAAGAATAATTAAATGAATGAATAAAAGTTGTAATTGTTGCTTAATGTAATGTAATGTGTGAGGGTGGGAGCTAAACTTAGGGAGAAGGTTAAGGTTTGGACTTTGTAATTGCTTTAGATCATCACTTGCTCATTACAATGTTTGATTTATAATTTGCGTGCTTAACTTTAGACCTCAACCCAACTTGTATTAGCGGTGTCCAAAACGTAGCAAAAAATGGTCTTAAAATTCATGATTGACACTAGAGAGGACTAAAATCGACCCACCTAGCTGATCTCATTCTCATTCCCCTTTCTTGAGAACTTTTACTCTTCTGAAAGTATTGAAAGGGTTTATGTCATTGTTACAAGTTGTTCAAGTTCGACATGTGTTCAATGACACAAACTTAGTGGCAAATGAACTTATTAAGGACGAAGTTCCTCTTGTAAATTCTATTTTCACAAAAAAATAAAAAAAATCTCATTCACATTCCTTCTTTTCTTTCTCGAATTTGCGACCTCCCCTATTCCAACTAAGCAAACACATAATATAAATAGTCTAACGAAGAAGGAAAGACACTACAAGATTGAGAAAGATGAAAATTTTGTTGGTTGATTAAGGTCTAAACTGTCATTTTCTTTATTTTATCAAGCTGTTAGTCTTTGTGAAATAAGCTGTTAGAAATCAAGGGTTGAGAATAGCTCTTAATGTATTAGGCTCATAAGTGAGCAAGTGGCAAGATCTCATAGGTTCTTGTAATGAAGGGATGGATGAGCTCATAGGCTCTCCTAGATTTTCTCCCTTTTTGTTGTGATAAAATGAAAATGCACTCAAAAGAGCACATTGGCTCTTTTTGAGATTTTGATCACTCTCCTTCTATCTCTTCATTTTCTTCTCTCTGTTTTGAATTGCTACAAATGCCATCAAACTTTTACAAATTCTAACATGGTATCCAAAGCCTAGGTTCGATTTCAGATTGGGCATCGATTTCTGTGAAATTTTGCGAGATAATCCAACGTGAAATCTCTTGATTTCATTCCGATTCAAGCTATAATGGCTGGGTCTAGAAGCAGCGATTTACAAGCTCTCGTTTTTTTATGGAACGGAGTTCGAATTCTAGAAAGTGAGAATGGTCACCATTTTCAAATCGTATGGGATTTGGAAACTGGTAGATAAAGGAATTGTTACTCCATAATTGAAGAAGAAGAAGGAGAGAGGAAAAACAAAGAAGGAGGAAGACTCACCCTCGTCGGACGATGATGAAGAAAACGATAATGAGTTTGATACTCACATGAAGGATCAACTCATGAAAGACACTAAAACACTGGGAATCATTCAGAGCACTGTGTCTAAAGAGATCTTCCCTCGGATCGTGAATCAAGAGACATCCAAGGGTCCCTGGGATCTACTCCAAGAGGAATTTCGCGACGATGAACATGCAAGGTATGTTAAACTTCAAAGTTTGCTTCGTGAGTTTGAATATATGAGGATGAAAGAAAATGAATCATTAGCTGCTTATCCTACTAGACTATTTGAATTAATTAATCAAATGAAATCTTATGGTGAGATTCTCACTCACCAAAAAGAGGTTCAAAAGGTTTTGATTAGCCTATCTAGTAAGTATGATCCAATTTGTGTTGTGATTGAAAGAACTTCTGATTTGAATATTGTGACTGTGCAAGAGGTGGTTGGATTTCTTAAAAGCTATGAATTTAGGTTGAGTAGACATGGAGATGATGCTGCAAGCTTAGACCATGCTTTCTCTATTATGATTTTTGCATCAAATACACAAAATAAACCATTTGTACAGGGAAATCACAACAAGGGAAAAAACAATTGGAAGTCTAAACCCAAGAAGTGGAAAAACAAAAGTCATCAGCTTGAGAGACAGGGTGAGATTACTAATGGTAGTAAACAAAAATGCAAGATTTATGATAAGGCTCACTATGGAGAATGTTGGTTCAAAGGGAAACCCAAGGGTCACAATTGCAACAGGTTTGGACATATGGTGAAGAATTGCCATCAACCAAAGAAAACTCAAGCTGCCAACTATTTGAACCATGTCCAGGATAATGCAATGATGTTTTATGCTTGCCATAAGGCCTTTGTGCAAGGTAATAGTGGAGTTTGGTACCTAGATAGTGGTTGTAGTAACCACATGACTAGTACTGAACCATTACTTATCAATATTGACAGAAGTACAAGATGCAAGGTGAAAAATGGGCATAGAAGACCTGGTTGATTCAATTGGCAAATGAACTTTGGTAGTTGAGACTAAGAAAGAAACAAGGTTCATACCAGAAGTTATGATTGTGCCTGGTCTATATGAGAACCTTCTCAGTGTGGATCAGATGGTTAAACATGGATACTGGCTTTTATTTGGTGACTTTATGGCTTGTATCTTTGGTGACAGTAAGCTACAAGATCATGTTGCTACTGTGCAATTGAAGGGGAATAGATGCTTCCATTTAATATTTGAATCTATGGATCACATTATGGCAAATAGAGCATCTACTAAAGACAGCTCATGGAAAAGGCATAGAAGATTTGGGCATTTAATTAAGATATCTTGAGGATGTTGAAGGAAAAGAGCATGTTGTATGGTTTACCATATCTCAAAGATCACAATCAAGTGTGTGAAGGTTGTGCTACTGGGAAAGCTCACAGATAAGCTTTTGACAAAGAACAGAAATGGAGAGCATCTCTTCCACTCGAGCTTGTTCATTCAGATGTTTGTGGACCAATATGTGAGACACTTGGTGGCAGCAGGTATTTCCTCACTTTTATTGATGATAAGTCCAGAATGTGCTGGGTTTATTTCTTGAAGAGCAAGTCTGAATTATTCATAATTTTCAAAATGTTCAAGGCTATGGTGGAACTACAAACTAGATTTAAGTTGAAGAAACTCAGAATTGACAGAGGATGGGAGTACACATCATTGCAGTTTGAGAAATTTTGTGAAGATGTTGGTATTGAAAAACAACTAATTGTTGCTTAGTCTCCCTAGCAAAATGGCATTGCTGATAGGGAGAACCGTACCATTGTAAAGATGGCAAGAACCATGCTTTATGAAAAGAAACTACCTCTCAAATTCTAGGGTGAAGCAGTTCACACTGTTGTCTATCTTTTGAATAAATGTCATACCAAGGTGTTAAAGAACAAAACTCCATTTGAAGAGTTCAATGGTAGAAAACCAAGGGTAAAACATTTGAGAATCTGTATGTTATACTTATGTTCCAACTCAGCTAAGGCATAAACTAGAAGAAACAGGCCATAAATGTATGTTTGTTGGATATGGGACAAAAGAGAAAGGTTACATGGTGTTTGATCTGAAAAGCAACAAAATCATTGTTTCCAGAAGTGTTATGACATGCTTAACCCCGAAATTCTCCAAACACCAGGATAGGTACGTGCTAGCCGACACTCGAAGGTGACGAAGGCATATTAGGATGCATGAGAACAAGAAAATAAATAAGACTTATAAATTTAAATGTAATTAATATGCAAATGAGGAACATGTTCAGAGTATACAACTAATTATATACACTAGAAAAGAAATGGTATAAAATTAATTTTTGTTCTTCATGTACTATGTCTGGAATTCTACTTAAACTGGATCTGGAGCTAGTGCTGGCAGTTGAATTAGATCTAAATAATCTACTCATATTGGTCAAAATGTAGGTTTTCAATATACAGAAATCTTTCTTGCTTTACCTTCCTCACATATTTGCTAAACTCCCTCTTCACTTATGCAATCCACTCATGCCAATCCTATGGACTTATTGGTTGGAACACATCTTACTATTTGGGTTGAGAGTAAACAATCATACTTAGAATGTTAACAAATAAGATAAACTGTCAATGATAACTGAAGGTTGAACAAATATAGTGATTAAAAAGATAATAACTCAATTAAATGAAGTTTTAAAACAAACATTGTTTTGACAAACATGGGCTTTTGGGATTTCATATTTTAACTACACTGGTGATTGGTTTGTTGCACAAAGAATTTCTGTTGATTTACGGAAATACTTGGTGGGGATTAAACCTTCTTGAATACAATTCAAGTCTGCACTTGAGTCAATTAAGGCAATTACAAAAAGATATTATCTCAAAAACCATCTTTGCTAATCATGAAGTGGAATTATGAAGTCGAAATCGATGAAGTCAATAGAATCAAATTAGTCAAATGGTGGGATAAATCCAACCATAAAAAAACCATCAGTCAGGTCCTCAAAGAATTTCCCATTACTCCATCTCCAGTAATTATGACACAGCCAGCACAACCATCTTTGCCAGCCATTCCAGAACAGTCATTATCGGACATTAGTCCATCATCATCACTCAAAGGAACATCAAAGTCATCCAACTCAACAAGCTCAAAAAGCAAAGAAAAAGCCACCCAACTTAAAGACTTAGCTCAACAATTACTTGCAGAAGGAGCGATGCTCCATTCTGAAGAAGAAGAAGAAGAAGAAGAAGAAGAAGAAGAAGCCGTAGACTTTGAATCTTCAGATGCATCCTCACAGCAACCAGTCAACTTAGCAAGCCAAAAAACATAGTCAACCAAGTGGGCCGACTACCAGGACTCCCAAGACCTTTTTGCATAAAGCCATGTGAACACAGTTAATCACTATGTGAAAACTAAAGTCATCAAGTCAAGTTATCATGACAATTGCCATCTTTCCAAAGTCACCATGTGAAGTTTTCTGACAAAGTTCAATCAATAATTCTGACAAAGCAAGGAATCACTCAGTCACCTGCACACTCCACAGTCAAAGTAGCAATTATTCCAACAAGGATCACTATTCATCAACAGTAAAAGCAAGTTACCATCCATCCCGTGCTTCCATAGTAAAGCAATCAATCATCCAAGTCTCTTTTCCAAGTCTTTAAGAAGATGTCTCCGACGAAGAAGAAACCAAGCTCAATTTTACATTTTCTTAATCAAAAGTTTTTTTGAGTTCACACTGTACCCAAAGAAATAAAAAATTGTAAACACTTTTAATTTTCAAATGTCAAGGATGCCTACGTGCACCAATATCCTTTTCACCATTCAATTTCTAATTTGCTGACCCAATCGTCAGTAAATTAATTGTAAGTCCCAGTGTAAGTTTTGCAATAAAACTTATTTTCAAATTATAATTGCATCATTATTTTGAATTCATTACTTTATGCATATTTTCATAACAACTAATTTTGAATGGCATAAAATTCTTACACACAGTCAATTCATCAAGTACCTTCAGTTCAAGGTAAATAGCGATCAATCATTTGTTCAATTATTCTTATTCATTTATAATAATTGGTTTCATGGTATATTTAATCATGGTTATCCCCCACATCAAATTTTCAATTCTTCAATTTACAGTTCATTCAATTCTATCTCAGGCAACACGCTTATATATATAAGCTCTTGTAAATTCATACTAATACATCAGGGACAAAGTCTGAGATCTATATGAATTGGGACATTCTAAAAATAAAGTCACAAATTAAAAAGCTTAAGAATTTACTAACATTGCACATACACTAATCCATAAAATATATCATACAACATATTACAATATCTCACAACGCATTTTCAAGTTTTGAAAGCTTTGCATAACAATTTCACTACCAATACCATCAAATATTTCTTCCTAAAAAAATAATCATGTTATCATTCATCAATTAATTTTCTTACGATTTCTCAATTGATCATTTAGAAATTTCACAACTGAAAATGCTTTATCATGTGAAATTATTAAATGTAATATGTACAATTTTTTCACAAAAAAATGAGTTAGGGCATCTGCCCCTTGGGCCCAAGGTGGCACCGTCCTTGGCAATACCACACATACTATGCAGAAAAGTGATAGAAAAATATGAAAGTGTTTTAAGAAAAAAAATGTGGAAGAGTCTTTTAAAATGTTATCAAGAAAATATTAATATTTAAGGACTATTTCTTCTAAAATAAAAATAAATAATTAAGTCTTTGCTTAAAAGTTGGTTAAGCAATTTCGAACCTTTTCCTAATTTTTTTCTTGTGCATCAACCTCACCTTGTGTTACGTTTATCACTACTGCTTTAAAAGGCAAAAAAAACTTAATACAACACAAAGTATGGACAAAAAAGTACATATGAAATCGATAATATGACTTAAATAATCTTTGTGACACAAATTAAAGTAATGTGTTGAATCCAAGTAAACTAAGTGAATTTTTTCAACAAAATGCTTTGTCAAAACAGAAAAAAAAAAAATTGTTATTAGCATTTCAAGATAATTATCATGCACTCTTTCTTAATTGAAAGTCATTAAACAAAAGAATAGTATGTGGTGACTATCTGGAATGTTAATAATAATACTAAAGAAAAACATATAGGATAATGAGCGACTAAAAGTACGTTAGGCTCGATGAAAACACTACACTAGACATATGAATAATGATCCATGCAAGGTCATTCATTTTATTAGCAAAAGCAACTATGTGGATACAGGGCCACATTAATCCATCACATTACACAAGCACAATCTCTACACAGATTACATTTCTTTTTAACTAATTAATTAGCACTTTTTGGTGCACACGCAAGCACGGGTCAAGACACTACAATGGCCTCTGGTGAATTGCTCCTTTCTGCAGGTGTGTTTACAGTTGTTAGACGAAAAGCACAACCCTTTGAATAGAGTGCTTGGACCCTCACAGATCTTCCCCTCAACTGTCTTGCTTGACTCAGTCCTTGCCTCAACACCCATTGGCCTCATCTCTAAAGATCAATTTTTTTTTGTTGAATAAGATGCTTTATTAGAAACATCATAAAAAATTAATTATTAAATAAAAGAGGTATAATTACCGGTAGCAGCCAAAAGCAAGACAAGAACGAAGGCAGTTGAAACAAGATGCATTGAACGCTCCATTTGAATCTGTGTGTATGTAAGTGTGTGCTTGATCTGTGCGTTTCTATGTGTGCTTGTGTATAATAAGAAAGATTTTAGATGCTGATGCAAAGAACAATAACCATGCAAGGCTTATTATATAGTGATTTAGTGCAGATTAAAGAGGAACGGTCTCCGTAAAGCCAGGTAGCAACATACCCAAAATACAAAGTTGAAATTTCCAACTTACGAGGCACCATAAACCAAATCCCTATTTTTGTTGACTAAGTTCTCTGTCATACATTTTTCTATGCACATTAGAGTTTCTTTTTCAAGCACATTTTACTTTTGCTTTTAAAAGAATATTTGGGTTTTAAGCACTTTGACTTATTATTCACATTTTTATATGTAAATGATGCGGCATATACCATATAGTTCTTATAACAATATAATTGTTTTTTTGCCCAAGTTTTAGTCTGTCTGTACCTAACTAATCTAAATTATATAGACGTGGATTTGCACATTTGAATACCAATTTTGTAAATAGAAGATAATACGATGACGGGGCATCGGTTGTTTTTTCTTCGGTGAATGCAACAAATTCATAGCAATCTTTGCATCACTTTCTTGCAGTAGCGGAAAACTGTTATGCATTTGCACCATGGAGCATGTTTGATCCCTACCGATTCTTTTCCTCCTAACAACTACCTATTTAACCCATTAACGTTATCATTTATCCAAAAAAAAAAAAAAGCAGCGAACATATTGCTCAAGAATGATAAAACCAGAAGATTCATAATTCATTGTATCAACCTTCAGTAGTTTAGATGAACCCTTGAACATTCTTTATACAATGTTCTATGAATTCACGAGGAAGATGACACGAGAAACCTACTCATAGTTCTCCAGGATCTACAGAGAGATCGGGTAGAATATTCCGTCCATGTTCAGGTGAGATAGTTGATGAATTCCACAGCGGTCGCAATGGCACCTCCTGTAATTGCATCCACCAGAACTTTATCCTTGTTCTCTTTGCTGGCTGCAGATACTAGAGCCCCTGTCAATGCACCCCCGAGCATGGCATTCTTCTGCAGGATATCAAAAGAAAAAGGGTGAGCAGATGCAGAAGTTCCAATGGAAGTCCGAAAATTAGATAAAAACGAACTTGAAATGGCACGCTTGAATGTAATTTTAGAAGCTACCCGCGCATACTGAAAACGAACAATTACACAAATCATGGCAACGGGAGGATATAGGGAACATAGAGGTTAAGAGTTTTAAATTAGCAAGTAGACAATCTGAAACAATTTCCCAGATCTAGAAGGTTCATGTGCAAACTAGGACGAATGAGCATGAAAATTAAGGCCAACAGGTACTGTACAACTAGCTATCTAGAATTCGAACAGACATATACCCAGTCTCTGTGTCCACTGACCCTCTCGATACCATACTCTGCTCCCACGTACACTGCAGCTACAGTACCTGTCAATACAATAGAAGAAATTGTTGATGCAGTTCTCAATTCGCAAAAGTGAGGAAGCTGAAGCAATTTTCCCGGAGGACGAGCATAATCTCATCCATACATTCATGTAACAAACAATTAGATTCAATCCTTGGCCGGATGTGTGTCGACAAGGACGTCGGACCCTTAAGGGGGGTGGATTGTTACATCCCACATCGGCCAGGGTAGTGGATCTTGTAAGCCTTATATGTATATTCCTATCTCTACCTAGCACGAGGTCTTTTGGGAGCTCACTGACTTCGGAGTTCATCAGGCTTATATGTATATTCCTATCTCTACTTAGCACGAGGTCTTTTGGGAGCTCACTGGCTTCGGAGTTCATCGGAACTTTGAAGTTAAGCGAGTAGCACCTAAGAGCAATCCCAGGATGGGTGACCCACTGGGAAGTTCTCGTGTGAGTTTCCAGAAACAACCGTGAGGGCGTGGTCGGGGCCCAAAGCGGATAATATCGTGCTATAGTGGAATCGAGCTAGGGATGTGGTGGGGGCTCGGGTCGGGATGTGACAAGCAGTTAGAAATTTTTTTCCCAAGTATTCAACAATTCGTATTGTAACATTTAGTGTACCAACCTGTGTTTCTGGCACACTTTCTCAAACTATAATTGTTTTTTAATTCCCCAAAAAGAATAATTAAATGAATGAATAAAAGTTGTAATTGTTGCTTAATGTAATGTAATGTGTGAGGGTGGGAGCTAAACTTAGGGAGAAGGTTAAGGTTTGGACTTTGTAATTGCTTTAGATCATCACTTGCTCATTACAATGTTTAATTTAGAATTTGCGTGCTTAACTTTAGATCTCAACCCAACTTGTATTAGCGGTGTCCAAAACGTAGCAAAAAAGGTCTTAAAATTCATGATTGACACTACAGAGAGGACTAAAATCGACCCACCTAGCTGATCTAATTCTCATTCCCCTTTCTTGAGAACTTTTACTCTTCTGAAAGTATTGAAAGGGTTTATGTCATTGTTACAAGTTGTTCAAGTTCGACATGTGTTCAATGACACAAACTTAGTGGCAAATGAACTTATTAAGGACGAAGTTCCTCTTGTAAATTCTATTTTCACAAAAAAATAAAAAAAATCTCATTCACATTCCTTCTTTTCTTTCTCGAATTTGCGACCTCCCCTATTCCAACTAAGCAAACACATAATATAAATAGTCTAACGAAGAAGGAAAGACACTACAAGATTGAGAAAGATGAAAATTTTGTTGGTTGATTAAGGTCTAAACTGTCATTTTCTTTATTTTATCAAGTTGTTAGTCTTTGTGAATAAGCTGTTAGAAATCAAGGGTTGAGAATAGCTCTTAATGTATTAGGTTAAGAAGTGAGCAAATGGCAAGATCTCATAGGTTCTTGTAATGAAGGGATGGATGAGCTCATAGGCTCTCCTAGATTTTCTCCCTTTTTGTTTTGATAAAATGAAAATGCACGCAGAAGAGCACATTGGTTCTTTCTGAGATTTTGATCACTCTCCTTCTATCTCTTCATTTTCTTCTCTCTGTTTTGAATTGCTACAAATACTACCAAACTTTTACAGATTCTAACATGGTATCCAAAGCCTAGGTTCAATTTCAGACTGGGCATCGGTTTCTGTGAAATTTTGCGAGATAATCCAACGTGAAATCTCTTGATTTCATTTCGATTCAAGCTACAATGGCTGGGTCTGGAAGCAGCGATTTACGAGCTCTCGTTTTTTTAAGGAACGGAGTTCGAATTCGGGAAAGTGAGAATGGTCACCATTTTCAAATCATATGGGATATGGAAACTGGTAGATAAAGGAGTTGTTACTCCATAATTGAAGAAGAAAAAGGAGAGAGGAAAAACAAAGAAGGAGGAAGACTCACCCTCATCGGACGATGATGAAGAAGACGACAATAAGTTTGATACTTACATGGAGGATCAACTCATGAAAGACACTAAAGCACTGGGAATCATTCAGAGCACTGTGTCTAAAGAGATCTTCCCTCAGATCGTGAATCAAGAGACATCCAAGGGTGCCTGGTGTCACGGGATGACTCTTTAAGCCTTCCGCCGGTGCGGCACTTAGACTTGAATACCTCGATGAACAAGCTAAGTAAGCCTTCGAAGCCTCGCTTCCCCGGATTGAATCACAAAGAAAGCTAAGATAGCTTGGAGAATGCTAAAATCACTTAGAAGATGGGAGAAAGGAAGCTTTGTATTGAAACTTAGGAGAACTTTACAATTGCTTACAATTCTTGGATGCCTTGGCCAAATGGCCTTGCCTCCTATTTATAGGCCTAAGTAACCTCCTCAATGGAGGGTTCTAGAATTCCCTACTTACATCCAAAAATATCTAGTATAGTTCTAGATACAACTTGCCTAATCTAGATTGTTCTAGGTGAGGCTTGAATTTGTACACTTGTGTGGATCCTAGATTATCTTGAACGCTCCGCCATGTTCTTGATTTTTCCGGGATGTTCCAGAAGCTTCCATGAAGACAAGGCTTTATGGGCTTAGATATATGATGTCTTGGGCGTTTTCTTTGTTTGTAACATATGGCCCGTGACACTAGGATCTACTCCAAGAGGAATTTCGTAGTGATGAACATGCAAGGTATGTTAAACTTCAAAGTTTGCTTCGTGAGTTTGAATATATGAGGATGAAAGAAAATGAATCATTCGCTGCCTATCCTACTAGACTATTTGAATTAATTAATCAAATGAAATCTTATGGTGAGATTCTCACTCACTAAAGAGAGGTTCAAAAGGTTTTGATTAGCCTATCTAATAAGTATGATCCAATTTGTGTTGTGATTGAAAGAACTTCTGATTTGAATATTGTGACTGTGCAAGAGGTGGTTGGATTTCTTAAAAGCTATGAACTTAGGTTGAGTAGACATGAAGATGATACTACAAGCTTAGAGCATGCCTTCTCTAGTATGATTTTTGCATCAAATACACAAAATAAACCATTTGTACAGGGAAATCACAGCAAAGGAAAAAACAATTGGAAGTCTAAACCCAAGAAGTGGAAAAACAAAAGTCATCAACCTGAGAGACAAGGTGAGATTACTAATGGTAGTAAACAAAAATGCAAAATTTATGATAAGGCTCACTATGGAGAGTGTTGGTTCAAAGGGAAACCCAAAGGTCACAATTGTAATAGGTTTGGACATATGGCGAAGGATTGCCATCAACCAAAGAAAACTCAAGCTACCAACTATTTGAACCATGTCTAGGATAAGGCAATGCTGTTTTATTCTTGCCATAAGGCCTTTGTGCAAGGTAATAGTGGAGTTTGGTACCTAGATAGTGGTTGTAGTAACCACATGACTAGTATTGAACCATTACTTATCAATATTGACAGAAGTACAAGATGCAAGGTGAAAAATGGGCACAGAAGACTTGGTTGATTCAATTGGCAAATGAACTCTAGTAGTTGACACTAAGAGAGAAACAAGGTTCATACCAGAAGTTATGATTGTGCCCGGTCTAGATGAGAACCTTCTCAGTGTGGATCAAATGGTTAAACATGGATACTGGCTTTTATTTGGTGACTTTATGGCTTGTATCTTTGGTGACAGTGAGCTACAAGATCATGTTGCTACTGTGCAAATGAAGGAGAATAGATGCTTCCCTTTAATATTTGAATCTATGGATCACATTATGGCAAATAGAGCATCTACTAAAGACAACTCATGGAAATGGCATAGAAGATTTGGGCATTTGAATTAAGATAGCTTGAGGATGTTGAAGGAAAAGAGCATGTTGTATGGTTTACCATATCTTAAAGACCACAATCAAGTGTGTGAAGGTTGTGCTACTGGGAAAGCTCACATATAAGCTTTTGACAAAGAATAGAAATGGAAAGCATCTCTTCCACTCGAGCTTGTTCATTCAAATGTTTATGGACCCATGTGTGGGACATTTGGTGGCAGCAAGTATTTCCTCACTTTTATTGATGATAAGTCCATAATGTGCTGGGTTTATTTCTTAAAGAGCAAGTCTGAAGTGTTCATAATTTTCAAAATGTTCAAGGCTATGGTGGAACTACAAACTAGATTTAAGTTGAAGAAACTTAGAATTGACAGAGGATGAGAGTACACATCATTGCAGTTTGAGAAATGTTGTGAAGATGTTGGTATTGAAAAACAGCTAACTGTTGCTTATTCTCCCTAGCAAAATGGCATTGCTGAGAGGGAGAACCGTACCATTGTAAAGATGGCAAGAACCATGCTTTATGAAAAGAAACTACCTCTCAAATTCTAAGGTGAAGCAATTCACACTGTTGTCTATCTTTTGAATAAATGTCCTACCAAGGTGTTAAAGAACAAAACTCCATTTGAAGAGTTCAATGGTAGAAAACCAAGGGTAAAACATTTGAGAATCTTTGGTTTTGTATGTTATACTCATGTTCCAACTCAGCTAAGGCATAAACTAGATGAAACAGGACAGAAATGTATGTTTGTTGGATATGGGACAAAAGAGAAGGGTTACATGGTGTTTGATCTGAAAAGCAACAAAATCATTGTTTCCAGAAGTGTTATGACATGCCCGAACCCGAAATTTTCCGAACACCAGGGTAGGTACGAGTTAGCCGACACCCGAAGGTGACGAAGACATATTAGGATGCATGAGAACAAGAAAATAAATAAGACTTATAAATCTAAATGTAATTAATATGCAAATGAGGAACGTGTTCGGAGCATACAACTAATTATATACACTAGAAAAGAAATGGTATAAAATTGAATGAACAAGAAGTGGGTCCTACACCGAGAGAACTTGAAGATGCGGATGCGGAAGTGCCTTAACACCGGGATTGTACACCTCGATTCTAAGTCCTAAGGGGCACAAAACAAACATGAGTGGACCAAATTGACATATAATAATAATAATAATAATAAAACAGTTATCAACATTCTAACCCCCAAAGCTTTATGAAAACTAATAGCATAATATTTAATAGGTTTTCCGAAAACCTAGCATGCCATAAAACCTTTCTTAAAACATATCGATAATAGTGTGATAAATAGTGGTATCCAATAATAATATCTCCCAGCCCAATGCCAGCTTTTATGTCTCTGCGCCCGTAGCCAGAAATTAATTCTCCCGACCCAATGCCAGCTCCGTGTCTCTCGCCCCGAAGTTAGAGATTATTTCTCCCAGCCCACAGCCAACAACCATAATCCTCGTCCGTGGCAGTATAGTGACCACTAGATAAGCACAAAACCATTGAACATAGACTTTCCAAACGTAGGTACATATATCTCAAAAACATCTTCATAGTATAAAGTCATCCATCATCTATACTATAAAGAAGTGTGTAAAAGCATGTTCATAAGCAGTATATAGTCATCCATCATCTATACTACAAAGAACATGAGTTTGATAAAATAGGGTAATTCAAAATATTCTAAGTAAGCACAATAATCATAAAGTGTAAATCTAATTTACTTATAAAACGTAACCATTAAATCATGCTTTTCATGTATGCATTTCTACTCACAAATACTTCACCGTCGAAGAGCCACGCAAACTAGCGAAGACGGAAACGTCACAAATAATTGCCTCTAAGCACATAAAGGGTCCAATTAATAAAACTATATTATAACAATTGAATTTGGGAAAACGGACATAAAAAACGGATTCAGAACATCGAATTAACCTACGAAAGGTCCCGGGTAAATTTCGAATTAACCGAGGGCCGGTTCTGGGCTGGGTTAGTAACCGAGCCTAAGTTTTCTTCTAGGCTTGGTAGCTCGGCCCAATGATTCTAGTGGGCTGGGTTCCAAAGGGTTAGAGGCCCTCGGTTTGGCCTGAGTTCAAAAAAGCCTAAGGCCCGAGTCAAAACAACCCAAGGGCCTGGGTTTGAAAGGGTTAAATGGGCTTGGGCTTAATACTAATTTGGGCTTGAGTTTAGCTGGACTGGGTTTTGGTGCACCGATCGGTTCATCGGTCCCGCTGAAGAAGAAAGCTGGAGCTTTCAAGCTCCAGTCAAACCACAACTCACCAAAACCCAATACCAAAATGCAGCTACAGAGGAGGGGAAGAATAATATACCTATTGGAGGCCGTGACACAGCCGGAGTTTCGCCGGAAAATGTCTGCAAGTCATGGCATTCTCACCAGAAATCTGGAAACTCATTTTCCCGAGTATAGCTGCATTCCATGGCACTCAAACCACTTAAAATCATCCTAATCAAGCTCTAATAAAACTCTAGGAAGTTTGGAAAGGTTTTTGAAACTCACCGTATCGAAGAAGGCGAGGATTCTCCTATGACTCTTGAATGGTGGCAACGCCATTGTGCAGTAAGGAAGAGGTTGACAACTCCGGGTTTCTGGCATGGGGAGGTTCTAATGGAGGGTGAGTGTCCAAGTGTGTGTGTGTGTGTGTTTGCTTCTCGGGGGAGAGAGGGTTAAGAGAGTTGTCGAGAATGAGAGATAAGGGAGAGCGAGGGAAAAGAGATAATTGTGAGAGATGAGAGAGGTGAGAAACCAAGGAACACAAAAATAGGGTGGGCCCTACGTGGCTCACCAACCAATCCCATAAAACAATTTAAAAAAAAAAAACAAAAAAAAAAGAAAAGAACACCAAATGTATCCCAACTTGGTGAAATTACAAAGATGCCATTTTTGTTCGTAAAACCCGGGACGAGTTGTCACATGTTATCTTTGATGAAGGTGATGTGCTCAATTGGGAGAACATGGAGACAATTCATATCCCTTTGCCCTACTTAAATGCAAATGAAGGTGTAAGTATAACTGAGATTGAAAATGGTTCCTGTGAGGGGTCTAACATCTATGCCTTTGAGTTGAAATCTCAAAACACATGTGTTGATAATGCCACTGATGTACACCGAGTTTATTCTAGAATTGTGAATGAAGAGTGTGAAATCCAAGTCATTGAGACATATGATAACACACCAAAGAAGTGGAGGAATTTGAATGAGATGTTTGCTCAGTGTAGACTTAGTGCCATTGATCCTGAAACTACAATGAAGCTTCTCAAGATCAAGCTTGGAATAAAGCAATGGAGGATAAGATCTCTATGATTGAGAAGAATGGCACCTGGGAATTGGTTAATAGACCAAGTGACAAACCTATTGTTGGAGTAAAATGGATTTTCAAGACTAAATTGAATCTGTATAGCACTATACAGAAACACAAGGCAAGATTAGTTGCCAAAGGGTACACTTAAAAGTCTGGAGTTAATTTTAATAAGACTTTTGGACCTCTGGCTAGATTGGACACTATAAGGACTCTCATTGCATTGGCAGCTCAGAAAGGGTGGAGATTGTTTTAGTTAGATGTGAAGTCTGCTTTTCTGAATGGGGTTCTTGAAGAAGAGGTGTACATTGACCAACCTGATAGTTACATTGTCAAGGGAGAGGAACACAAGGTGTACAAACTGAAGAAAGCCTTGTATGGGCTGAAGTAAGCTCCTGGAGCTTGGTATAGCAACATTCACACTTATTTGTTGCAATGTGGGTTTGGAAAAAGTCCTAGTGAAGCTACCCTATGTGTGAAGCATAAGGAAGGACATGGAACATTGATTGCCTCCATATATGTGGATGACATTATTTACACAGGGAGTTGTCCACAGATGATTAAGGATTTCAAATGTGACCTGATGAGCAAGTATGAGATGACATATTTAGTTCAGTTACATCACTTTCTTGGAATTAGGGTTATTCAACAAGAAGGGAGTATCTTCATCCACCAAAAGAAATATGCATTGAGTCTACTTGACAAGTTTGGATTGAAAAGCTGCAAGTCTGTCTCTATTCGCTTACCTCTCATTGACAAGCTAAGGAAAGATGATGGCAGTGAACCTGCAGATGAAGAATTGTATAGAAAAATTGTTGGCAGCCTCTTATATTTGACTGCAACAAGACCTGACATCATGTATTAAGCTTGTGTGCTTGCCAAATATATGCATTGCCCTTCCACCAAGCATCTTAGCACTGCTAAGAGGATTCTAAGATATGTGCAGGGGACTATAGATTATGGAATCAACTACAATAAGGGAAATGCAGCCTTGCTCATAGGTTTCTATGACAGTGACTGGAGTGGAGATAAGAATGACATGAAATCTATTTTTGGCTATTCTTTTAGCTTTGGCAGTGGTGCATTTTTTTGGGCCTCAGTGAAGCAACAAAGTGTTGCACTCTCAACAGCAGAAGCTAAATATATGAGTGCCTCTGAAGCTACAACTCAAGCCATATGGCTGAGATTTGTGTTGCATGATTTTGATGAAGAACAGATTGAGCCAACTACCTTGATGTGTGACAACACATCTGCCATTGCCATGTCAAAGAACCCTGTGTTCCACCAAAGGTCTAAGCACATTAAAAAGAAGTTTCACTTCATCAAAGATACAATTCAAGAAGGAATAATTAATCTGCAATTCTGCAAGAGTGAGGATCAACTAGCCGATATTTTCAACAAGGCTTTAGCTTAAGACAGGTTATGTGCCTTGAGAGACAAGCTTGGAGTAATTTTAGTTAAGACCTTAGAAGGGAGTGTTGGTTGATTAAGGTCTAAACTGTTACTTTCTTTATTTTATTAAGATGTTAGTCTTTGTGAAATGAGTTGTTAGAAATCAAGGGTTGAGATTAGCTCTTAATGTATTAGGCACAGATGTGAGCAAGTGGAGAGATCTCATAGGTTCTTGTAATGAAAGGCTAGATGAGCTCATAGGCTGTCCTAGATTCTCTCCTTCTCTAACGATATTTTTTGTTCAGTTGTGATAAAATGAAAATGCACGCAGAAGAGCACATTGGCTCTCTCTGAGATTTTGATCACTCTCCTTCTATCTCTTCATTTTCTTCTCTCTGTTTTGAATTGCTGCAAATACTGCCAAACTTTTACAGATTCTCTAACAAGTTTAGGGTTTATGCAGTTCTGCGTAACTCACAGACACCAATTTTTTGTCTTTATAGCATAAACTCTTTTGTGCATGCATTAGTAGAAAACATGCAACATCATCATTGTTCTACAATCTTCTTGGGGGAAAAGAACAGAAAACTTGAAAAAATTACTCAAAAACTCAGTAAATAGGGATTGTTCTCCAACTCAGTACTCTAACCCCACTACTGAAAGAAAAGGCATAAATATGATCTTTCTGCACAATTTCATTCCCATTCCCAGGCCTAAAAGCTGGTGCTGGAAACAATGGCCATGCATTTGATCCATCAACCTCAAGCCAAAATTTTTCCCTCTCTCCCACAAAAACCCACGCCTCCTTCCCTCCAACCGGAACCATCCTCGCCCCATGCACCTTTATCCGCGACCTCTCGATGATTTGGTTTGGTAAAAAACCGATTAATCTGAATCTACATATCGAATTTGGATTATTAGACAGTACTGTCCACAGCCATAGCTTCACACCTAACTGATCTGACCAAGTCAGTATCACCACTCTTCTGCCTCCTTAGGCACAAATGACTTGAGAAACACCCAAGAGTTGGTGCTGGGGTTGTAAATTTCAGCTGAGTACCCGAGAGCTTTGTTGCCACCGACCACAAAGAACCTGCCTTTGTGAGTGAATCCTGATGCAAAGGCTGGTGGATTTTGCGTGTTTTGCAGTGCTTGCCACTTCCATGTCTTCAGGTTCAGACGTTCAGCCGAGTTTAAGTAAGATGAAGGATCAATATCTGCATATGATCATCGAGTTAGTTCTACAAGAAAAGCGATCATTGTGCCAATGTGCACACTTTCAGCTGAGTGCTCGAGTGGCTATATTTCTAAATCTAGAAAAAGGGCCTAAAAGTCTTTTACATATTTGTGTTATTTCACTGATCATGGCTCAAATTGAAAATTGCTTATTCTAGTACACATCAAAAACCCTAATTGGGTAATTGATATTCCGAGTTTAGATTTGATTTTGATATATTTCCATGACCAAGCCACACACAAAACACCAAACATATTGAAACATACACATTAAACCATTTCATAAAATTAGGAAATGATGCATCTTATTATAGCAGTGCTTACTAGAAGGGTTGCCCTTGTAGCCTCGGGCAACATAGAACCACGTACCATCAAGAAGGGCATAGGCAGCGCCGAATGGATTCTGATCCTCACAGTTCATTTTAGGGACATCATGAAGTAAATTGTCACTGCATGAATAGGTACACAGACTGGCATAAGGCTGATCAGGACACTCCGCAAGCTTGGCACATAAGAATTGTTCCGGAAAGACTACGATCACTTGGATTCAGTACCCCAATTCGGATAGAGCCCGAGGGACTACCACGGAATGGAATTGGGTGGAGTGCATTAATTGGTAGGCAAACCATTCCCATGATGGAAATGAATATGATGTCTCCGCTTGCTTGTTGTTGTTTTTATGATCAATGAGGGGATTTTTTCGGATTTCAACAATGCAAATTTCATCGAAAATGCCAGAATCAGAAAATGCGAAGATGGAATTGTGCAAAGGAATGAGGGTTTGATCATTTGCTTTGGCATTTGAAACTGAAGAAGGTGTTCTGCTGAGGTACCACATCGTTGAATTGGTTAAAGCGGGGTTTTTCTTACTCAGGTAGACGATGGACCCCACACAGTGATTGGATAATGTTTGTTTGGACTTCTTTAACAAATTGTCCTATAAAAACTCGATCAGTAGCACTAAACATCGTATCAAAATTTCCTAATACAATTAAACGGTTTGACTCTATTTATAAGTAAAAGGTGTTAAGTTTAACTAAAGAAGGTGTTCTGCTGAGGTACCACATCGTTGAATTCATTAAAGCGGGGTTTTTCTTACTCAGGTAGACGATGGACCCCACACAGAGATTATAGGATTGGATAGAGTAAGACTAATGCAAGGGAAATCAAATTTTTTAAACCAAATAATATGTCATCAATAAAAAATAAGCACGTTAATCGACACTTAATTAATAATCCAATCATCTACAATCACATTATTTAGTTTGCAAATTTAGTTTAAAAAATTTGGTCTCCCTAGCATTACACAGTAAGAGTAATGCTAGAGAGACTAAATTTGTAAACTAAATGATGTGTCACCGATAGAAAATGAGCACGTTTATTAATGTTTAAATAATACACTCATCAACTTTCATGTCATTTAGTTTACCAATTTAGTCTCCTTAGCATTACTCAGATTGGATATAGGAATGTTTGTTTGGACTTCTTTAACAAACTATTCTATAAAAACTCGAGCAGTAGCACTAAACATCGTATCTAAAGGCCAAATGAAATTTTTTTTTTTTTGAAAACTAGGTCAAATGATTATTACTAATACAATTAAATGGTTCGACTCTATTTATATGTAAAGGGTATTAAGTTTAACTTTAACAATTATTACTAATACAATTAAACGGCAACATATAGCACTATCAGGTTGGGTTATGTGCAACCGGTTCTACAATTTGTGTAAAATGTTTAGTAACAAGAGAATGACTTATATGTAAATGGAAGATAATACGATGGACGGGGCATCGTTTGTCTTTTCTTCGGCTAATACAACAAATTTACAGCAATCATTTCATCAGTAAGCATCTAAAATACTGGCAGAT